GATATTGTTGCGTCGTCACAATATTATATATCACTTGAAATTAAGAGAAGTCTAAACAACCAAAACGACCATTTCGTTGGGATAAGGTCGAGGGAAATTAGAATTATGTTTAAATTAAAACTTTAATGATCATAAATCTTTGCTAGAGTTACCAGTTTTGAATTGCCTATGAAACCTTTTTCTCAACCATGATATTCGTATCCACTACTGCCGTTGCGGTTGTTTCGACTCCTTTAACACAGACTATGGACATTTTAAATTTGTAACAACTTTCAGTACCAAAGCAATGCATACTAAACTCAATATTTAGCTGCTTATTGTCAAACGCTTGAAAGGTAATCTACAACTATACACAGGGATTAGGGACTCTTTAACATCTTTTGCCATGAGAAAATTAATTGCTAGCCCTGAGGAACAGGGTTAAACTATATCTATATATCGCATATTTCAAAAAATTTAGTATGACCGATTAGGCCCCCTGGGTTTGTGCTTTGTGTGGTTGTGTTCCACGCGTAATAGTAATCTTGATGAAAAAAGTAGATCGTATTCGTTTTCCTATCGACGAAAGCACTATCTAGATCGTTAGGAACACCGTACCATTCTTCTGAAGTAAGTTTCGGGTACCCTGTACTTGTAGTATCTAATCCTTGATTAAATTTATAAACTTCGTTACCTTTAAAAAAGTAGGTATAATGATTAAGAGTAGAAAAGGCAGCATCGATATTGTCTGGTATCCCTGGCCAATAACCGGCTATACTTAGGGGATAGCCTCTGTACATCACGTCTCTATAATTGTCGTATTTCCAATACTTTGAACCTTTGAAAATGTACGTGACGTCCCCAGTGCTATAATCAAAAACTTCATCGGGGTCCTTTGGGAAAGAAACCCATCCATTGACTATACCCAGCGGATAGGTTGGCATAGAAACGGTAGTTTCTGCGTCAAGTTTCCAGTAATTTGTTCCTTTCATGACGTAAGTCGCCCAAACACCATTCTGATGTTTACGCCAGCTAAAAATACTTTTCACTCTGGGGACACATTTACCTTAGAGAGAGAATGTAACGCCTAACTTAGACCAATTATGACATGACAGAACAGAATTAAAGACATTGGTATTCATACTTCCTGCACTGTAATTTTCGACATCATTATCATTTTTATAGTTGCCGCCATTTTTATCATCATCATCATTTCTTTAACTACTGTCATATATACGCGCTATGTACATTGTATGCTCGAAACACAGTTGTAGAACATGGCATGCGTGACCCGTTTGCTACAATCAATTCGCACCATAAAGCAGCAAACGAAAATAGATATGTTGTATACGTAAAGATGATATCACAACCTGTGTAGCCTTGATTCGTGGTTAAAATGGTGTGTTAATCTCACACCTAGATCCTACTGCGTAACTAAAATGTACTTTCTACCGTTTGACCGTGGAAGGACTGAGTACGAGACTAATAGTAGATTAAACGTATTCTATCTCATGACTCTATTCTTCGCATAATAATGCCTCTCGTACATGACGAAGATAATGGCTGCCAATCTCAAAAATGCATAGAAAAATAAAATTGACCTAAGTTTCAAAACAATCTATTCTGGGCGTTGTTTGGCGACGTGTAAGAAACCGATAGCAGTTTAAAACCCATAAAACCGATGAAATAGCACACATTGTATTTTATATTAGGGAAGACAAATAGAGTACAGAGTTTAACAAATTAGACCAACAAGGTGCAACAAAAGAATAACATTCCACCGATGTATTTTATGGTAAGTAATGGACGTATAAAGTAATACCTGCAAGATGCTGAATACCCGCGATATCGTCATCATCGAGACACACGTCTGTTGTGTCCAGGCTTATGGTTGGATACATAATGGAAGTCGAAACAGAAGAATGCTTCAAACCCAGACTATGTCCTATCTCATGAACTGCGGCACGAAATAAACTTTTACAGCCAGGTTGGACGGGTGAGATGGTTTTGTTAAAGAATGCTGCGCAGTGGGTATAAGGGATATCCCATTTCTCGTCAGCGTCAAAGTGGACCTCACCATGAGGAGGATAGAAAGCATGCGCATAACTGTTGCCAGGACCGTCGAATGGATACGGATCATTGTGACCATCTAAGACCAGATTTTTAAAAGAAATTTGGTTAACAAATGATACAAGGCATTAGCGGAACACCATTCTCTACGGAATATAGCTCTTATTCGAAATTCCAACATCTCCCCCTCAGAAATTGTGTCAAATGCCTTAAACAATTTTTTTTGTGAATGGCAAAATCAACGACCGCGACTTTCTACACATTGTGCAAGCCTTAAGACTTGGGTCTTGCAGACCTTTTCTTCTGAGCCACTCGCTCGCGAAAGTGAACTTTTAACCTTACGCACCTTCTTATTCTTATTTCGCTGAGATTGAACACCTCTTGTCTAAATTCCCCACCCCAGCCAGGCAAGGTTCAAATTCCCTACCCCCACGGATGACGGCCATATGCCCGTGGGTGGCGCGGGGGAATGTTAAAACTTCGCATTGATCGGCATATTACGTGACTTCCATGATTGACCACAGCTACAGTTCCCAGAGGAAAGGATGCTGTGCAAAGGAAGACAAGCGAGGGAATCCGTAACATAGGCCAAAATGCTTGCTTTATGCGCAGTAAAAAATAACTCAGACGAAATAACGACAAATAAGTGAATGATCTATCGAGTACGTTAAGCAAAGCGTGCAAAGAGTAACATGTCTCGTAGACTGTATGCTTACAGCTGTTTCGAGAAAGTTTGTTGGAAAAAAGGACATAATTGCACGCGACAGTTTCGAAAAGTAATCTAGGTATCCAGTAATCAATGTTTTAATAAGTCAAATGAAAAAATAAATTCCTCCAACCCGCAATGCCTCGTCCTTACAGTAACGTTTTTCTCAGATTTCATTAGATCCTGAGGTCAACGTGACCTGAAAACTACCCACAATACCTTTCGAGGTTGAAGCGTGAATTTTAATGCTTTTATTCCGGTACCCTTTTTCGAAACAGCCGTATTCAAAACAACGACTGCTGTTATTCTAACTCCGTTCAGTTTATACTTGGGCAGTCAGCATACGGTGCGAGTCTGGCAAAACCGTGTCTGGTTATACATAGTTTATAGTGAAAGTAAAAGTATGCACAAGGAACACTCTTCCTTTTTCACCACCAGAAGAAAAAGCCGCCATTTTGTATATTCTATCAACTACCGACACCCAACGGGAAGTCAGGGTTTTAATAGAGTACTTCAATTTAAAATTGTGATCACATAATGACATTCCTAGCATTCTAGAGTAGCTCTGTCTCTCCGTCAAAGCCGGCGACAGCGGAAATTCAGGCGGAAATTGTAACACGATAAGTTGCGAAAAATAACCCAAAGAAGATAAAAGGCGGAGAGGACTTTTCCAAGACAAGAATTGATAAAACATCCCTAAAAATTCAGCGCAAATGACGTTTTTCGATCAATTCTCTTTCTCTGTTGCTTAACTGGAGTTGAAAAGAAAACAGATTTTTGAAGCTCTCTTGTTTTCCTTAAAAAACCCTAGCCAACATCCATAAAGCATCTTCCACCCCCCTCAGTTTTTCTCCATGTTTTCTCCAGTCTTGTTTGCACGCAAAGATTTCCTTAAAAAAGTCACAGTCAGTTTTTAATATATTGTGAAATGGCGGAATAATTAACTCTTGGTGTTGATATTCATTCGCTAGGAATGTAAAAGATGATAAAAGGGTACAAGACATATACAAAGTGGTACGGACGAAAAAAATTTACTCTTCTGTCTTTCATCAGATAAACTACGCACGCAAAACAAGCAAATAATAATAATAATAATAAAATATATATATATGTAAATAAATGAATACACATCACTGAGACGCTACTAATTGCTGTTTCTAAATTAGTGTCATTGAAAAATGCCAGCAGCGGTAGGTAGGTGGCACAATTCAGCTTGCATCTAATCATGCTATTGAGGTAGATTTCAAAGTCACTTACTTTTGAGAAACTTGAGTTGTATGTCTACGTTACTGTCCAAGTGAGACTGCCGCTGGAACGTGAATCTACTTACTTCTGCCCAAACCCTAAATGCCGCCGTAAAAACCGCTGCAGCCATGGGTTGTACGTTGGCATACCAGATAAGATTTCTGTGACCCCACGAGGAACTTGATAGCGCATAGCGACGATTTCGAACCTGCAAACTGTTGATCTGTGCCAAGTAGGCGGTGCGATTAGCCAGATGTGCATCTTTTGCTGCCGTCTTAGGCTGCCGTGGAACCGGTTTTCTTCTGATCCACGATCTTAAAATTCTCTTCACTGTCTGCGGGCGTTTTTTTAACGTACGTTCGGCCATTTGTCGAATTTGTGAACTGCTGTCAAAGTCCTACGATCGGTTCAGTAAAATAAGAGAATGATGATACGGCGAGTGTCAAGGGCGCATGACCCATTGCCATCTAACTTACGCTCAATAAGTACCAGATTACTGACCCCTTTCAATATTCATTGTTTAAGACTAGTAAACATCATGATACTTGCCTCAAATGAAGGAGGTTGTCCATTAGATAACAATTTTCTTGAGGTGTGTGGCCTTGTGTCGCATTCGCTTAGGAGCGTCGTCAATAAAATTAATGCCACTTGATAAAATATACACTCCATCTTTCAGTGTTGTCAGTCGGTTCTATTTTCCTCGTGTGATCGGCACGGTTGTCTCTGCAAGTTTGACGAATCAGTTATTATCGTAAGTATAAGTATGCTTGTGTTGTGAAGTATAAAATTACATACCACTCAAATTACACCGGAAATCTCTGCTGGCGGGAAACTCTCCCATTGATGATGGATTAATTATCTTTGTTTGCTTGTGTGTGGCGTCAAACGAAAAAGAAATTTTGCCAAATAGGAAAACCAAAAAACCGAGAAAAAAAAAAAAAACGTAAAAGAATATCAATGCTTTAGATTTCCAGTCTTTGCCTCGTATCGCTTTCTTTCACTTTCCTATCGCAAATTTTTTTATACTATCTTGAGCTTTGCCGCATTTTGAAACAATCTTTGTACCGCTACACGACGTCACCGTCCCGAGCCAATTGTGTGTGTGAGTGTGTGTGTGAGTCATTCAGATTTGATTTGAAAAGGAACTTCCTTCCTTGCCGGAACTTTTTATCATACGTGGTATGTACATAAGAGAGTTATTGGAAATAGTTGAAATCCGATCAAACCATCAGTTTCATCTTGGGACTTCGAAATTTGAAAAGAAAAAGATCTTTGTTCGTTGACACTGTTCCAGCACTGCATAGCTTGAAATTATCGTAAAACGTATTAAAGGAAAATCTTTCACTGTGTGTGATTCATTTACGTATGGGGTATACAGGATATGCGTCTAAAAGAAACATGAGGAAAAAAGAAAGCGAGGGAAAGAAAACAGTGAACCAAAAGTCGAGAGACGAAATGATAAAAAGGAAAATAAGAATTAAGATTGTTACTATTGTCGGCTATAACTTCGTTATATCATCGTGTAATCAAACACAACGACGGACTTACATTTACGAATAAAATATCTCGTTTAAAAATATGGGTCTTTGCTTATTCACAGGATTTCATGAAGCGTGTTGGTCTCCATCGGAACCTTTTCATGAACGTGCTGAGACCCAAATATTTACATTCTGCCATGTTCTGGGGCCTGACAGTCAAAGGTTGAGAGAGTGAATGATTAAATGGTATGTTGGAGGATGTCCCATCAATCAGGAAACCTTTTTAAAGCAAATTTACTGTGTTTTATACTGGCCGAACAGCTTTCGACTTAAGTGAAGAGGTACTACCACAAAAGTGTACGGAAAATAAAATCATTAATTACAAGGTTGTTACCACATTTCGTTCGGCGGGAATAAAAAAAAAAGTTTGGAACTCTTTAACTCTACATGATATCTGTCTCATATAGACTTAAAATTCTTTGTCTTAAATTTCTTTTCCTCTCCATAAACAATACAGTACTCTGTCGTTATTATCGTTTCGGATGTAGATCTTCTGTCATAATCCGCAATTTTTTACGTTACACAATCAAAGAACAAAAGTGCCAAGGTATCCAAAAATTCCTTTCTTAAGTCCTTTTGTTTGAAAATTTAATTAAACAGTATTTCCTATCCAAATCTCTCTTCATTCACCGAAAAAAAAAAAAATAAAAAAAAAAATAACCCGATCACTTAACCCACAGGCCCCTCTTAAAAAGGATACTAACAAATATTGGCAACATTCGTGGTTTTGAGCCAATACCTTCTCGGAAGAAAAAATCAGTTTACTAAATATTTTTCCACTAAATGTTAAAACAATCTAATCCCCTTGGATTATTAGCCTTTGCCTTATTTGCTGAATACACCGGCCGGCATGCTCATTAATTTGCTGAAGCTTATTCTTCTGGGGGAAATTAAATGAATTAGCATTTGAAGGTCTCCGAAAGCGTTAATGAATGCAATGACGTAGGCAATGCAAAGGCAGGTAGGCAGGCAGGCAACTCTTTTTTAACTTGCTATGTTGTGGTATAACATTCCTATGACTTTTAACACGTTCATAAATTCCCCTCACGCATCGTTTCCTGAAAAGGTCCAACCACATGTAAACAAACTGGGCATAGTCGAAGTGGTTGCGTCAAAAAACGTTGCGACTATTTCTTCAGTACTGTACATACATCTTTAAGCATGAGTTGTTCGCCCATGATTAGGAATGCATCGTGAAACAAGGAGAGGGAACCTAGTTTTTCTTAAGAAGGACGCTTCAGAAAGTAATTCGCAGCGATTGAATTTTTTCGGCGTAAAAAGAAACTCTAGCAACTTGAACTGCCAAAGGAGACAAAGTTCAGGTCGAGAAAGCGGGGAGCTCGAGTAAATTGAGAGAAAAGGCTAAAAAAATGTTAATGAGTGTAAACCTAGAGTAAATTTAGGCGATCAGCATCTGAATTTTCCTGGCCTTAAATAAGCTTAAAGTGATGTAGACAAAAAATCTCGATATCCCATGTATATAGACGGCTATTGCTACTTAAATCTCGTTTTTTAAAAGAAATTTCACAGTTTCCAGCAGTGGAAAATTTGTGCTTAAAGGAGTTCGTGAAGTCAAATTAAGAAATGATCGCGTATAAGTTTAAGTCCAAGCCTATTGACAACGTCCCGATACACTTCAAAGGGTGTCGCGCCACTGTTAACTTTGGCGGGAATATAAAGAAGTAAACGCTAAGATGCCCTGATACTTTCCGGTCCCAAATACCGAATTTATTGATTAAAAGATAACCTCTTGTTGATTCCGACAGGTACGAGAGCTATTTCCTTTATAACTGTACACCATCAAAACAACCACACGCGGTTTTTTGGTACGTAACACTTCGGCGGATCGTACCACGCGACAATTTGCTATTTTTAACACAAATTTTAAGATATGTTTACAAACAAAAGGTTGTGCATGCACTTAGGACACGTGATGCGAGTTCAGATCTCCATGGCTCCGTTCGTCTTTTACGTGGAGTAAAGTACATTTACCGAGAGCCAATTTTAGACCATGGACAATCAAAAAGACCTGAATTAGATGCAAAGTACGTTTGGGGCACTAAATCAGCAGAGTTTTAACAAAAGTAAGGAAATCGACTAAGGTGGCCATTCAGCGGGAATTTGTGAGTATGGGCCATCGCGTGAGAAGCAAATTGACTCCATTGGTGATCCTTGAGACACAACACGCCATAACTCGCGCGTTAATTGGCACCGAGGCCGATAGGTTCTTAGGCACTAAGTTGCTCAGCTGAGGTTTGCAGCTATAAGAGTAATATATAGTGCAACAAATACGTAGCAACATGGGGTGACTCTTCTATTTGGTCCTATTTTGGCTCAGAATTCTTTTTGGACGCACAGGTGGTTTTTGATAATAAAATGCTTTTAAACAATTCATGTGGCTAACGCGTTAAATGGAACCTGACCGCCTTGAACTACTTCTCTTCTTACGAAGAGGTATTCATGTAAGATGAAATATTAGTCATCTAATCCACTAACTTAAGTCGTAAATCGTACAGTCCTGAATTGCCCTCAAATTTTATCATGACGAAACTATAGAATCAATCAAGTTTCCAGCACAAACTACCTCAAGCCGATCAGAATGTTTCTTCAAGGTTATCGCTTCCCATACTCCGAGACAGATAGTGTATATTTTCATATAAAAGGGATTTAACCTCTGGGAATTCAGAGAGGTTTATCAGGCTCTCCAAGAACCGGTAAATTCATTGATCGAGCTGAAGGGAACCCAGCAAGTTATGTTGTCACTAACCGCAAGCATGTTACGAGAGCTGTCGCACATGATGAGTTCCGTCGCATGAGAACAAGGACATTTTGTTTATTTTCAGTCCGTTTTCAGTTTGCTTACCAATTACACGTAGACTCACTGACCTAAAAGTATCATTTCAAGGGACATGATGAAGCATTATTTGAGGAAGTTCAAGTTCACGTCTAGTTACTGCGGGTCTACACAGATAACAATCTGGTTAACGCAACTTTGATAAATTAGATAAGTGTTAATCTTAAGTTTGGCCAAATTTGAATTTTAACAGGGTTGTTGTCTAGAGTTCATAAACGTTAGTGTCAATCTTAAAATTTCCTCGTCTGCATCGAAGGTGATTAAATGTTTCACAATCAAAACCTCTCATTAGCATCGAAGGTAAATTTCAGAAAACACAAGCCTGTTTATTAGAATAATTACATGATGATATTCATAAAATTCAAGTTGTCGCATTTTCAGCAGAAGAGTTTCGAAAATAAGACAAAGTAGTTGCTATTATGAACTCTTCATTACGCAATTAATTAGAAATCACCCTCGCCAACTGTTGACATATTTTGTTAAAAGTTTTAAATCATTTGGGTTGACGCTGTACTTTAATAAGGTTACGGTTGGGTTAAGGTTAACAGTTATTTTTTATTTTATTAATTTGCCGAAATTACTATGCATGAACAATTGCCTTTCCTAACTTCATCTGGTGATATATAACGTGGTGTCCGTGACCATTACAAGCATAATTGAACGTCCTGTCAGCAAGTCATGAAAAGGAAGTTGTATCGAAATGGATCCTATCAAAATAAATCCAGTCTTTCCCTTCCCGAAGAAACTTAAGCTTACGTTGTAGTGATTCACTTGGAGATCACAAGCATTTGGCTTCATTCTAAGGATTCTTGTATTTTATCTATGCTTACTGGCTATACGAGGGGCGATATCGTGGAAAAAAAAATTGAAAAAAAAGAGCCCTGCTCAAGCGCTCAGGATCAGAAGGGCAGCATTAAACCTCAGAAGTTAACGGAGCAGCACTTTTCTCAACTCGCTTATATTTTTAGCTTCGTCAGGTTTGAACTTTGCACATCTTGTTCCCACACACATAGTCATATTTAGACTACCGTGAAATCAGTATATAATTCGAAAAACACTAACCGGGGAGGTTGAAAACAAGTGTCTCACTGAGATCAATGAGAATTTAAGTATCAGGTAGTATTACTGTTTAGGTTGATGGTAAAACAATCTTTAACAAAATTCGCCCACATCCATGACGCAAATTACTGAGCTTCTTCATGGGTGTTCATTTTTATAATTGATGATGGTGGTGAAAAGAGGTAAAAAACTTCAAAACAGAAGAATAGGAGAAAAACAAAATGAAGTTGTATAAATATAGGTCTCCCTTACCTGGAGATAGTGGTTTTCACCAAATTCTAACTCTGCTCTCGCTTAGTTTTTCGTCTTTTGATAATGTGTAATTTACCTGGATTGAACTGCCATTTATGCATTTATTGGTGCGCGCAAGCTGGTCACATGTCAAGTTGCGCTAAACGAATAGAAAAGCATATTCAAATTTAAGCGATCAATTATCGACCGCATAGATATTGGATTATAGACACTTTATTTATGTAATTAAGAAGGGTAAATTCTCGTACGTTAATATGAACAAGTGCTTCCTTCCTGCCCGGAAATGTTTATCATATTCAATAGATATCGTACGTAAAATCCCATCAATCCGTCAGTTTAATTAAAGAAATTTCAATAGCAAAAAACATATGTTCATTTAAATCGCTAAAACATTGCGCAAGTTTAGCTACGTGTTTAACTGTTTAGCGAGGTCAAAACAATCTATGTTGAAGGTTAAGTAAAGAAAAATTTTTTAAGATTGTTCATGAAAATTTTTTGGCCCCTAAATTAGTTTCCACGTTTATGGAGTTGAAGCCTTCAAGGCCCTGACTAAATTGCCCAGAGTTAGAGATTGAAAGCGCGACAGGCAAACTGCTCTGAATCATGTAGTCAGGCAAATGCAAAAGGGTCATATTTTTATGACCGAAAAAAAAACGTTAATGCGTTGGTAACATGTAACAAGAATGAGTATCCAAACAATTATAACAGTACATTTAAGGTTAAATAGTTGGTTTACTCCTAACAATTTTCAACAGAACAATGAATTAAAAATGCAAGTAGAGCTAAGAAACGAGTGCAATTCTTAAAGTAACAATAAAAAAGAACAGTTCTTGGCAAATAACCTACATTCTCATTAAAGACTTTAAAAATGTTACCATCGAAGGAAAATAGAAATTGATATTTTTTACACCAGAGCCTATTACATTAAATCAAATCTAAAGTCTTCATAGAAGAAGGTTGCGCTTTTGCAAGCTGAGAATTGCAACTGTTCTACAAAGCACTTTTAACTTTTCCTTAAAGCCAACGTTATTCATGTAATAGCTCTAGATCTCAAACGATCTTGTTGTTTCAGCAGCTATCTATTAAATCATACATAAAATTGTGGAGTTGCTTTCCTTTTCTAAGAAAGATCCGTTCAGTTTAGATCTATAATTATTCCGGATGAAGAGAAATGCATTGGATCGTTTTCTAGGGTTAATAAGGCACATCTA